GATGGCTCAGAGTCTGGGCTCAGGTGTGAGTAACCTGGCAGTTTTGGGAGTGCCCAATTCTAGGACAGCTGCTGCTGGCACCTTGTGGGGGCCATGCTGTGAACTTGCAGGAGACAAAGGGAGGGTCTGGGCCTGCAGGGGGATGTGGCATGGAGCAGTCACACAGGCCCCCGGGTGTGCTGGCACCTGAGGGTGACATGGGAGTGCGCTGGGGCCCCAGTCAGCGTCACTGACGGGCTTTCTTCATTTCCAGTCCATTTTCGCTACGTGGTGTTCCATCCATTCCTAGACGAGATTCTGATTGGGAAGATCAAAGGCTGCAGCCCAGAAGGAGTGCACGGTAACAGTGGCCCTGATGCCTCAGACAAGACTTGGGAACACTGTGGGGGCAGGAGGTCTGTGTCCATCCACATGGTCAGGGGACGGCTCAGGTGTTGAGGCTGAACCTTCCCCGTGGTGTCAGAGAAGCTTGCGCACCCTCCCTTTCATGTGTTGTGTGAGGACCTCCGTCCGCAGTGAGGTTTCACTGTCAGGCCATCACTCTGGGCTTCAGGGTAGGCACTGAAGCTGGTGGAAGTGACTGGGAGTCTTCAGCGCCCACCGGTCACTGTTGTGTGCAGAGGTTTTGGGGACTAGGTGCTCCGGGCTTTGCCCAGGGCTGCTCGGCTGTGTGGGTGGTGTAGGCAGAGGCATTAGGTGGGGAATGACATCCACCTCGTGAGCAGCCCAGGGCAGGGCTTGCCTGTCAAGCATCAGACCCTGCAATGTTTGGTGTCTACTGGGAACCCTCATCTCAGGCCGTCACCTGCTTCCTTCCTTCCAGTCTCTCTAGGCTTCTTCGATGACATTCTCATCCCCCCAGAGTCACTGCAGCAGCCAGCCAAGTTGTATCCTCCCAAGGTTAAAGTGGTTTGTCACAGAGGAGCTCAGGCCTCTCCAAAGGAAGGTCCCCACTCTTTAGGGTGGCCTTTGGGTCCTGTAACCTGATGCCACTGGCCTCTGTGCCTGCCCCCAGCCTGTGCTTTTGCTCCAGAGGCACCAGCCTGTCTGTCCCTCCCATTCAGGGAGTGAAGTGATGCCCACGTGCCTGTCTTTGTCGGGGCTGTCAGGCTTGGCTGTCTGGGTTGTACACTGCACACCATTAGAGCTGTGGTGTCCTGGGGTACACCATTCATTTCTGGTTCACTTTGCTTAGGTTTTCCCTGCAGGAATCATCTTAAAGATCACTTGCCCTGGAGGCTTACGCTGGTCCCTGGGACGTGAGGCCTTGCCTGTGTGCTGGGTCATGGGCTGAGATGTGTTCCTTCTGGGCCTCCGTTGTCCCTGTCCCACCCCTCACCTTGCTGTACTGGGGTTGTCTGTTTCTGTGGGGCTATCCATGAATCAGACTCCTCACTAGGAAGGACTCTGATGTGTCACAGCTGTACTCACGGTGCACAGCACGGGACCTGGCACAGAGGCAGGACCCAACAGTGGGACTGCCACCAGAGAACCCATGGCTCCCCTGTGTGGGCTTTGCTGGGGGCGATGGAGGGCCAAGGGGGGCCGCCCTGGCTGGGTGGCCGCACGGCTCTGGGTCTGTGTGTGACTCCAGGATGTGTTCGAAAACCTGGCGCAGCCCGGCTGGTTCTCTCACCAGCTGTCATCCAACTGGGTAGGTGACCTCCCATCCCACTACATCCTCTTGGAAACGGCAAGGCCTTGGGTGCCCATCAGCCTGTTGCAAGGCTTTGATGAAAAGGGTGTGTGGGGCCCCGTGGCAGGAGGCCCAGGTTGCTCTTGTCTTAAGAGGTGGGACCCGGACCATGTCTCATCCCCTCCTGCTCTGGTGCTCTGAGATCCATGTGCGTCTGGCTGTGGTGTCTGACTGGGGGCCCTGTGTTCCCCATCCTCGGTCCTGGCATCCAAGAGCGCTTGCTCTTCGCTGTTTGGCCCAGGCCTTGCACATGGGGCTGGGACCTGCTTTTCCTGTGACTTCCCAGCCACAGTGATCTCACCCTGGGATTGGTTTTTCCTGGGGTCGGGGGGTGCTGAGGGAAGCCCCTCCCACGATCTGGTTGCTGCCTTGACGCTGGACCTTCTCAGCGACGAAGCCGAGCAGGTGTGGGTGTGGGAGTATGAGACAGAGGAAGGAGCGCACGACCTCTACATGGACACTGGCGAGGAGATCCGCTTCCGGGTGGTGGACGAGAGCTTTGTTGACACGTCCCCCACGGGGCCCAGTTCAGCAGATGCCACCACTTCCAGTGAGGAACTGCCAAAGAAGGAGGCTCCATACACGCTTGTGGTGAGTGGCCCTGATGGTGCTGAAGCCACCATGGAGGCGGGAGAGCCGGAGTGCAGGGTTGGAGGCTGTGTCCTTTGGGTTCTGCTCTGGGATCTCCCCCAGCAGGTCAGGGATCCTGTTGGGGGGGCCTTGGCTGGTCACTTCTCCCTGGAGAGCCTGAGTTTCTGTAGGCCAGGGCTGTGAGGCAATAAAGGGACATGGCTGCTGGTGGGGTGGGCAAGTCAGCTTGCAAGGGGGACAGAGCTCATGCTGGACATGACCAATGATAAAGAGGCTTTGAGGCCAGGTGCAGTGGCTCATATCTGTAACCCCAGCACTTTGAGAGGCCAAAGTGGGAGGATTGCTTGAGGCCAGGAGTTTGAGACCAGCCTGGCTAACAAAGTGAGAGCTTGTCTCTACAAAAATCAATTAGCAGGGCATGGTGGTGTGCCCTGTGGTCCCAGCTACATGGGAGGCTGAGGTGGGAGGATCCCTTGAGCCCAGGAGTTCAAGGTTTTCAAGGTTGTGCCACTGCATTACAGCTTGGGCAACAGAATGAGACGCTGTCTTTAAAAAATTGGGGGTAGGGAGGCGTTTGAGGGAGAAAGAAATCAAGGAAGGGGCTTGGGAGAGATCAAAGCCCTGAGATTAAAGGTAGGACTGCTGAGCACAGTGGCTTATGCCTGTAATCCCAGCACTTTGGGAGGCCGAGGCTTGTGGATCACAAGGTCAGGAGATCAAGACCATCCTGGCTAACACAGTGAAACCCCATCTCTACTAAAAATAAAAAAGATTAGCTGGGTGTGGGTGGCAGGCACCTGTAGTCCCACCTTCTGGGGAGGCTGAGGCAGGAAAATGGCATGAACCCAGGAGGCAGAGGTTGCAGTGAGCCGAGATCGCGCCATTGCACTCCAGCTCAGGTGACAGTGCGAGACTCCGTTTCAAAAAATAAAAATAAAAATAAATAAATAAATAAATAAATAAATAAATAAATAAATAGGTAGGGCTCCCTGTAGGAGTAGCATTAAAACAGTGAAATAAAAGGGAGGGCTCCAGGGAAGAGTGGCCCTCAAGGCTGCTCCCTGTTGGATGTGTCTGGAGCATGGGCCTCATGTTTGCTCAGCCTTCCTGCCAGTTAGAACCTAGGTGGCCCTGGAGGGCAGGCCTGGGGTCCCTGGAGAGGGGTCTGCGCCCTGCATGCTGCGTGCCCATCAGGAGCACTGCTGTGACTCCCACGTCTCTCCAGAGCCTCTGGGCTGCCGTGTGCTGCTCCTCCACTTTGCCTGTGCTGGGTCTGCTGGGCTCCCTTCACCTCCTGTCCAGGTTGGTTTAAGCCAGTGTGTCAGTGAAATGTGCGTGTTCTTTCTCTATCCCTGGCAGGGATCCATCAGTGAGCCAGGCCTGGGCCTTCTCTCCTGGTGGACCAGCAACTAGTCCTGGGGCTGGACAGTGGACCCTACCAGCCTGCAGGAAGGTGCTACGGCAGTCTGTGAAGACAAGAGCAGCTAAGGCTGATGCTAACAGCAGCTGAGGCTAATGTGTCTCGAGCTGGACAGTGGGGCAGGGCCAGGAGTACCCACCAGCTTGCCCCCCTCCTCCACCATCTAGGCCCTGCTCCTCCCCTCGGAGCTTCTCAAGTCGCTGCTTTCAGTGACAGCAAAGCCATTTAATAAACAATGGCAGCATCAGAAGGGAAGGGACCACCCTTGTCTCAATGGCCAGTGTTATGATCTGAGGTCACTCAGTTCCTGTCGCTGGGACAGCATGGCCTCTCTTACCGCAGAGACAGGCTCCCCCAACCCCCACCAGGTGGCAGCACGTGGGGGCTGTGAGCTCTGGGCTGCCCCAGGCTGGCCGAGCCTGGTGGAGCCATAAAGTACATAGGGAGTAAGGCTGGCTTGCCTGGGGTGGCTGCTTTGGGCACTGGAAGCTGCCAGTTGGAATTGAGTGGGCATGAAGGGGAGGAACCTTCCCACCAGCTTGTGGAAAAAGGTGGGGTAGCCCCTGAGCTCTAGGAGACCAGTTCCTGATCAAAACAGTGGAGGCTCTGGGCTTTGCTGGTACCCCCTACCTAATTCATGACACAAGACAGCAGCAAACCTAGGACCACCTGTCCCTCAGATCTCAGCTATTGCCATGAGCACCTTGTGGGACTGCTGGTAACACCCCAGCTCTGGGCCCACAGCGTTTCTTCAGCAGCATGGCTTCGCAGGGTTCCTCCTGCCCCTCTGCCGACACCAGGACGCTTGCCTTACAGTAAGTTTTGTCCTGGTGATGGGGCCTCCATGGAACCTGCCTCCTGCCCTGGCCTCTTCGGCTCTCACAGGACCCCTGAGTGTGGAGGTGCTGGCTGGTGGTGTCAGCTGATGCCACTCCCTTTCCAGATGGCCCCATCTGCTATTGTGCCCACCCTCAGTGTTTAGAGGGCTACATGAGGCCATGCCTGGCATATCAGTGCCCAGGGAAGATGGAGAGTGAAGGCCACTCTCTGGGAGACTCAATTCTGGCCCAGCAGGGAAGCTACAGGAACATGGGGGGCAGGGCTGCTCTGCAGGTGGGGTGGGGTGGGAGGTGACAGGGAGAACATTTCTGCCACACCTCAGGTCTCCTTCACCGCAGTGATGGATCCAACTGTGGATGTGGCTGTTGGGCCTCCACTGACCTTGACTGAAAAGACCCTTCCTGGACCCTGAAGCTGATAACAAAGGGCACAGACAGCAATCACTCACTCATAGAACAGTCACTGGTTTTGGATTCTTGTTTTCCTTGCAAGAACAAAAGGTTCTCCAGAATCCTTCAGCCACCAACGAAATGATCAGGCAGGAGAAAAACTTTAGATGGGAGTGTTGTCATCAAAAATAAATACAATTGCATGGATCTGCTTAAGATCTGAACCAAACTAAAAATAGGAAGACAGGGGCTAAAAAGTTATTTTAAGAACCCCCCCACCACAACCACAGTCACTCCGTGGGCTGAGCAGGGAGCAGGAAGCATGTCTGGTCACACCATCTTGGAAAAAGAAGCCATGACTGGATGCATCGGATCCGCTGATGGCGCACGTGGGGCTGAACTTGATGCCAGCGCTGGGGCGGGGCAGGGGACGGGGAGGCACTGCCCTCACTGCTGCAGCTCCTTCATTCTGTTCAGGGCACTGCCGGCGCGGAACCACTCGATCTGCGTCTCATTGAAAGTGTGGTTCAGGAGGATGGTCTCCTGGGTCCCGTTGGGGTGCTTGATGATGCACTTCAGGGGCTGCAAGAAGGTGGGTGTGGGTGGAAGTGGTGGGTACTGCATGCCCTTGGTCCTGCAGGGGGGTCAGGGAGGCCGGGCACTGCCTGGGGACCTAGGAGGTCAGCAGGCAAACCCAATCCTAGGCCAGTCTGTGCCTCATGGCCCAGGTTAGACCCAGATGGCACCTACAGAGGATTCCTGGGGCCCAGAGGGTCCTGCAGTGGGTGGGTTGTCCCCTGAGTGTCAAGTCCTGGTGAGTAAAGGGAGGTTGAGGAGGTGGGAGGGCCCTGGGCTGACCCCAACCCCCAACTCTGGGAAGGCGCTTCTCTTTCTCTGTGGGGCCACCTGGAGAACTGGGGGTCTTTCCGGCTGGAATGAAGCCTCCTGGGAGAAGCTACCCTGGGGCCAGTGCAGGAGGGGAAACAAGGTGGCTGCCCCTCACCCCACCCCCTCAGGGGGATCCGGCCTCCTAACCTTGCCAGGGGTGAAGTCCTTTAGGCCTTGAATGGTCAGCTTATCCACAGGGTGAATCTTGTTGTAGTCGGCTGGGTCAGCGAAGGTCAGGGGCAGCAGGCCCTGTTTCTTCAGGTTGGTCTCTGGAAGGCAGGTGGCATTCGGTCATCAGGGGGCCTGACCAGCCTGGAGAGCTTCATTTTCTGAACCCATCTGGGGCTCTGGGAGTTGCCCCTAATCCTGCTGCCTGGGACAATGCCCGGGCATTGACTACAGGGCCCTGGTCTGCTCCCTTTCACTAGGGGCGCCCCAAGCAAGTGTGCACTGGTGCTGAGGTCTGCGAGGCCTTCCTGCTGCACATTCATGATCAAAAAGAACCCCCTGGCACGTGCCCTGGATCTCTGCGGCTCAGATCTACAAGCCTGGAAGCAGGGCCTGCGGGAAGCCAGGAAGCTGAGCATCAGATGTGCATTGTATGAGCCTAAGAAGGGGCGAGAGGCTGACGGGCCTGTGGGCTGCAGTGGAGATAGCCTAGAATCAGGCCCAACTCAGCCACAGGCAGGGCGAATGACCTTGGTCACTAGGGATGGGATGAAGATGGCCCGGGTGCAGACTCCAGCTCACCGTGGATCCTGGCAAAGCTCTTGGTGATGATGGCCCGGGCCCCAAGGTGGCGAGGCTCCAGAGCTGCATGCTCCCGGCTCGAGCCCTCGCCGTAGTTCTCGTCTCCGATCACCACCCACCTGATGCCATGTTTCTGTCAGGCAAGCGGGGTGAGGTTACAAGGCAGTCCCCACCTGCCTGGCCTCACCCACCTGGCGCCTGGGCATCCTGAGGCTCCCGGTAAAGGGGCTGGAGGGGCCCTTCCTCACCTGCTGCCTAAGGGCAAGTGAAGCCTGGGTGAATGAGACCCAAACAAGGCCCCGAGGGGACGGAGGCACCTGGCTGTCTGCAGTGGCACAGAAGACAGAACCCACCCATTGGTGCTTGGCAGGGAGGCAGGTGTGTGGGGAGGGAGGTGGGGGTGAGACAGGGACGGCCTCCGGGGCCCCACCCAAGATGCATCTGTGAAGCTCAAGGTGCCCCCTTCCTGGGAGCACCCTCTGCTCCATCCAGCCACCAGGGGGTGCCAGAGTCCCCTCACCCAGCTGGGCCAGGACTTGTTCCGTCGGTTTCTCAAAGCAGAACAAGTCCAGTCACCTCAGACCCTGGCACTGGCCTCAGACCTCTCTGCCTGCTCACTGCGAGGCCCCATGTAGCCCCTCTCTGAGCCTGTTGGCCTCTGACCTCCCGAGCCGGCCCCCTTCCTCATCTTGTTCTAGGGCCAGATATCTCCTGAGCGCTGCTCTCACTAACTCCTCCTGGTGCAGGGACCCGGCTGTACCACCGGACCTGGGCTTCATGCCCTCTCAGCCACAGGGAGGGGCCGCAGGCCTCTCCTTCCTTCCACAGCAGTCCCCTCTGGGCTCAGCCGGCCTCCTTCCTAGTTTCCATTCCCCTAATGTCCTCCCTGCACCTGCCTTCCGGGCCCCTTCAGGAGTGGCGACTGGCACTGCCTGCCCCCATCAACTCTGACCCACCTTGTAGTAGCGGGCAGTGTCAGGGACGGGGCCAAACTCCTGAGTGACGGCATTGCGCACGGAGTTGGCCTTGCCATTTTCAATGTTGATGGCACCAATGAGCAGGTTGTTGGAGATGTTGTCCAAGTGCCCACGGAACTTGAGCCAGGGGCCAGCAGCCGAGATGTGGTCAGTGGTACACTTCCCTTTGACCTTGGGTGGTGAGTAGAGAGGACAGAGGTCAAGGCATGGCCCTGGAGGGGTGGATGACAAGCCCTCCAGAGGCAGGCAGCAGGCTCTGGGGCCCAACAGGTGACAGAGGAGTGAGAGGCAGGCAAGGTTTTAGATACGTGTTCTGTGGTCCTGGTGCTTCCACCCTCAGGCCACATGGGCTCCGGCCAGCCCATCACTCATCCTCTCAAAGGCCTCTGGCTGCTCAGTCTCTCTTATGGGGCAGCTCACCCAAAGTGGGGACAATGTTCGCTCACCCTTCAGGCCTTGGCTGCAAGATTAGCCACTGACCTCATGCCGGACACAGGAGCCCGGGACATGCCTGGGTCCTGGCTGATGACTGATTAGTCTTTTCTGTCATAGGGGTGCCTGGAGACCCCTTAATAAACAGCATAAATTAATATCTGACACAGATTGGAGGCCTCTGGCCACACCAAAAAGGCTTGTTTTTGGTTGGTGCCAAACACAGGCCATCCCATATCCACGGGTGTGCAACTGTGGGGGCAGGAGTCATCCATGGCTTCCAGAGCCTGTGTGGACATGCTAGGTGTGGATCCTGCTGTGCAATCACACACACCGTCCCAGCCCAGCCTAAGCTGTACTCACCTGTCCACACTCGCTGGAGGTGGCTCTGATCAGTGGCTGCCGGATGGCTGAGGGCCCCAGATGGAGGCTGGCCAGATCTAGCTCTGCCCAGTTCAGGGCCACAGAGAAGGGGAACGCTGGACTGCGATACCCTCTCTGCTCTGCAGCCAAACCTCCCTTTCATCTCCCACCTGCGACTTGACTGTTTGCTCACTTCCTCCAGGTTCATGGTCCTTCCCGATGCTCAGGGGACAGGGGGCCCTGGCAGGGTGGGGCTGTCATGCCATCCCCGTGCTGCTGACCTTGATGAGGATCTGCAGGTCCTCCAGGTCCCTGCCATCCCACTTGTCAAAAGGCTCCAGGAGCTGCAGGCGCTGGCTGGTGGGGCTCACATCCACATGCTGCCCGCTGCTGTCCTTGGGGGGGTGCTGGTAGGTGTCCTGCCCTGGGTCAAACTCCTGCAGCAGGGGATGGGGATGTGTGGGGTGCTGAGTCCTCAGTTCCCACAAGGACGGACTCTCAGAAGGCAAGTTTCCCCGAGCCCCACCTCCCTTCCCAGGGAACAGAGCTGCTCCCTTCTCACTAGCAGCGCCCTCCCTGCCTGCACAGGAGGTGCTGTGAGGTTGAGAAGAAAGTGCTGTGAGGTTGAGAAGAAAGTGCTGTGAGGTTGAGAAGAAAGTGCTGTGAGGTTGAGAAGGAAGTGCTGTGGTCACACAGCAACCAGCAGAGCCCCCAGGGGGCACGGGCGCTCACCGCTTTGGGAAGCTCATCTGCATCTGGAGCCTCCAGCTTGAACTTCTTGCCATCTGTGCCCGTCAGGTAGTCGGTCTCGGGGTTGAACTTGAGGGTTCCCGCAATGGCCAGGGCTGTGACAATCTGAAATGGAGGTGGTCAGTATGTTGGTCAGCACCAGTCGACACTCCTGTCTCCTGCACCCACCAGAAGCCTAGACCAAAACTGAAACAGGAACCCAGGAAATTTCCATGTTCTCCCCAGACCCCTGTGTTCCTCAGAGGCCAGAGCTGCGGACGATCTTTGGGACCACAGGGCCTTGGGACTGCAGAGGACTCAGGAAGCCAAGGGCAGTGTGGCCTCGCCCATCCTGGCAGGGCCAGGCTGGCAGTGCTGTCCTCTGTCCTCACAGCTGTCCTGGAGGGAGCAGGCGCCTGGCGCAGAAGTGCCGCTGTGATGCAAAGCCCCTCAGTGCGGAGGACGCTAAAAACATGGAAGGGGCCATTCTTCCATCCATTTAGCAAGAAGTATTTGTAGAACACGCAGGTAAACAACCAAGTCAAGAGAGCCTGGCCACGTGCCAGTCACGGCCAGGGCCGAACACCGCCAAGAGCAAGGCTCGTTCTGGCCATGGGAACAATGGCAAGGCCTCGAGTTTGTGGAACTCCCACCTGGAGTCGGAAACTGCATGTGTCCCACACTTTCCCAGGTAATCCCAAGGATTATGGGGACACAGAGAAGGTAGGTGACTTGGCCACGCTCATACAGCGAGTTAGAGGCAGGGCTGGGATGTGTCCTACGCAGTGAGTGAGATTCCAAATTCCATGCTCATAAGCACAAACCACTAAATAAATATCTCATAATCCCACGACCCAGGGAGCCCCAGGCAGGAAGCACCAAGCATGCGCCTGGGGCTGGGAAAACCTGTGGCTCCTGGCTCCCACCTGGATGACCCCTGCCCTGTGATGTCAACCCTGGCCCCAGTCCCCATCTCCTCCTGCCTCCTCCTCTGACCCGCCAGGAGCCCCCAGAGGCCGTCCCAGGCTCATGCGCAGCTGGGCGATCTTACCTCTGGGGATGTGACGAAGGCATGGGTCTCAGGGTTCGCATCATTGCGACCCGTGAAGTTCCTGTTGTAGGAGGTGACGATTGTGTTCTTCTCCCCCTTCTTGATGTCCTTCCTGCCAGGTCAGAGGGAACAGCGTTAGGGATATCTGGCCTTGTCACCTGGCCTGTGCCGAGAACAGGTAAGCTGGGTTCCTGCAGCGCAGCCCAGCCTAGCTCCTACCGAGGGAAAATGGAGATGCCCTGCCAGGGCTGCCTCCTCCCTGGGCCACACGCAGAGCAGAAAGGAACCTCAGGATCACTGGGCCCAGCCTGCAACCACACGTAAGGCAGAGGCAAGGCTTCGGTCAAGGCCTGAGTTTTCTGACCTAGAGCCACTGCCTCCTCTCAAACGGCTCCATCAGAGTTTCTGCTGTGTCCCTTAGGGTAAGGCCGCGCTGGCTTCCTCCCGCCAGCCCAGGCTTTAGCCAAGTGGCCCCCCCAGTGCCTCTGCAGGGCTCTTCCTCACCCAGCCCCACTTTCCAGGCATGTCTGCCAGAGGTTTCTAATGGGCAAGAGTCCCTGGAGCTATAGATCTTGGCTGGAGTCTCTTCTCTCAATCTCAATAATTCCTCCTCCAACTTCTGGGGCTCCATACCCTGTGCACAAGGGGCTGTCCTGTCAAAAGATGTGCCTCTTACCTGTCCCACTGGCCAATGCAGGGGCCACAAGCATTGGCCAGGACAATGCCGCCCAGATCCCTCAAGATCTGTGCCTGCCAGGGAAAGAGGAAGACAGAATGTCAAGGGCAGGTAAGAGTCTGATGGGAAGGGGTGATTTGGTGGCTGCAGGACGAAGTGCTATACTGGAACCCCAGGGCAGCCACTGGGACCTGCACCAGCCCCGGCCCAACAGGCCTGTGGGCTTGTGCCACCTAGAGGCATTACTCAGCATGGAGTCAGGGAGATAGGCAGGGGGATATGGGCACTCACATAGCCGTCCCGCTCAATGGTGGCGCGGATCTGCTCGGAACCTGGAGTGATGGTGAACTGGGACTTGCACTTGAGGCCATGGGCCAGTGCCTGCTTGGCCACAGCTGCTGAGCGCCCCATATCTTCATAGCTTGAATTGGTGCAGCTACCAATTAGACCTGGTGCATTGTGGGTGGTGGGGTTAAGGGTCAGGAGGAGACTGTGAGCAGAGGTCTCCACCTGACCTCAAATTATCCAGACTTGGCCAAAAGAGTTCACCATCTGGGCTGGGCCAGAGACTTTTTAACAGAGACCAGTTGGAAGCAACCGAAATACCCAGCAATAAAGGACAGGCTACTTATTACTTGGCATGATTTGAAGAAAGACACTGCAGTCATTGGCCATGACACTGAACACATTAGTACTATGACCCCTTTTACAGCAATATCATGTACATGTGTAGGCACGTCAGAGGGCTCATATGAACATACGAACAGCCATCCCTGATGGGCTGGCGCTGATAGGAGATGCCAATTTTCTTCTTTTATACTTTCTAGTATTTTCTGGGTTTTAAAGATTGTTTTATAATTAGGGCGGTAAGAGTTCTTTTTAAAGTCTATAAAAACTGAGTAACATCGCATTGTGTGTACAGTTTCTTTCTTTTTTTTCTTTGAGACAGGGTCTTGCTCTGTCACCCAGGCTGGAGTGCAAGGGCGCAGTCATGGCTTACTCACTGCAGTCTCTAACTCCTGGGGCTCAAGCAACTCCTCCTGCCTCAATCTCCTGAGTAGCTGGGACCCACAGGTGAGTAACCCCACACCTGGCTAATTACAAGTTTTTTTTTGTAGAGACGAAGTCTCAACCATGTTGCCCCGGCTCGTCTTGAACTCCTGGGATCAAATGATCCTCCTGCCTCAGCCTCTCAAAATGTTGGGATTGGCCGGGCACAATGGCTCATGCCTGTAATCCCAGAACTTTGAGAGGCCAAGGCAGGTGGATCACTTCAGGTCAGGAGTTCCAGACTAGCCTGGCCAACATGGTGAAACCCCATCTCTACTAAAAATACAAAAATTAGCCAGGAGTGGTGGCAGGCACCTGTAATCTCAGCTACATGAAAGGCTGAGGCAGGAGGATTGCTTAAACCTGGGAGGCAGAGGCTGCAGTGAGCCGAGATCACACCATCTGTACTCCAGCCTGGGTGACAGAGCAAGACTCTGTCTCAAAAAAAAAAAAAAAAAAAAAAAAACCACCACCACCAAAAAGTGTTGGGATTACAGGCAAAAGCCAATGCAACCAGCCAGGATAGTTTCTTTTATTAATTCAGTAATTTACTTTCCCTTTTTTTTTTTTTCCTTGAGACGGAGTCTCGCTCTGTCGCCCAGGCTGGAGTGCAGTGGCGCAATGTTGGCTCACTGCAAACTCCACCTCCTGGGTTCACGCCATTCTCCTGCCTCAGCCTCCCCAGCAGCTGGGACTACAGGCACCCGCCAACATGCCTGGCTAATTTTTTGTATTTTTAGTAGAGATGGGGTTTCACCGTTAGCCAGGATGGTCTTGATTTCCTGACGTCATAATCCACCTGCCTCGGCCTCCCAAACTGGTGGGATTACAGGCATGAGCCACCGCGCCCAGCGACAACTGTATTTTTTATTTATTTTTTTCACTGGTGATAGCAGCAATAGGCCCAACACCACCTTCAAGGTGTCAGTACGATCACGACTCCTGTTTTACACATGGGGACCCACACACTGACAGTGAAGAAGTTTGCTCAGGGTCACTCAGCTATTAGGTGGCAGAGCCAGGATTCAAGCCCAGGCCATCTGGCTCCAGGCTCCATGCGCTTCACAGCCACACTGTACCCAGCAGCAGCAGATGCCAGTGACTGGCATGCCAGGGTGTCTGCATGTGTAAAGCATGAAAAGTCACATGAAGCAGCAAGGGTGATGTAAAATGTAAAACAGAGAAATCTATGCACATAATACACAGAAACACACCACACCTCTCCAAGAGCTCCTAAGAGCTTGCTCCTGGCTGGGGGTTGAGATTAGGAGTTTTAAAAATTCCTCTTGATTGTGAATATTCTCTACAATAAACATATTTTTCTTTTCTGCCAAAAAAAGTAACTTTTCTTTTCTTTTTTTTTTTTGGAGACAGGCTCTGTTGCCTGAGTCTGGAGTTTTGAGTCTGGCTCTATTGCCCAGGCTGGAATGCAGTGGTACCATCTCGGCTCACTACAGCCTGGACCTCCAGGACTCAAGTGATCCTCCCACCTTTGCCTCCTGAGTACCTTGGACTATAGGCATGCGACTCCACACTGGGCCAATTTTCTTTCTTTTCTTTTTTTTTTTTTTTTTTTATACGGAGTCTCGCTCTGTCACCCAGGCTGGAATGCAGTGGTACGATCTCGGCTCATTGCAAATTCTGCCTCCCGGGTTCAAGCGAATCTCCTGCCTCAGCCTCCCGAGTGGCTGGGACTACAGGCATGTGCCACCACCCCCAGCTAATTTTTTGCATTTTTAGTAGAGATGGGGTTTCACCGTGTTTTAGCCAGGATGCTCTCAATCTCCTGACCTCTTGATCCACCCGCCTCGGCCTCCCAAAGTGCTGGGATTACAGGTGTGAGCCACCGTGCCCGGCCAATTTTTGCATTTTCTTTTAAGAGACAGGGTTTTTCCATGTTGCCCAGGCTGGTCTTGAACTCCTAGACTCAAGTAATCCACCTGCCTTGGCCTCCCGAAATGCTGGGATTTCAAGCATGAGCTACTACCTCTGGCCGAAAAAATAATTTCTCAATACTAAACCCATCTCAGAAACTGCCCACCTTAGCAAGTGCCACACAGTAGGCATAGGTGATTGTCTACAGCTCTGGGCAGAGCCACTGGCCCTGAGACCTGCTAAACAGATGGGGTGGAAGGTGCTCACCCACTCGGATGTCCAGAGGCCATCCTTCCTTCTCTGCCACCTTGCCCACTTCTGCCACAGGGTGAGCCAGGTCAGGGGTGAAGGGCCCATTGATGTGTGGCTTCAGCTGAAGAAACAAACATGCAAGGAAAAGAGAGGAGGGAAGAAACCTTGAAGCGGGGCCAGCCTCTTTCACTGCTTCACCACGTCCCCACAGAGAGGCCAACGACTTTCTCTTGACTGAAACCTCATCACAGGGAAGACCTGAGCAGTTGGGTCTGCACACACTCGTTCCTGGGCTCCCTCCAGCCCTGCAAGGCCGGGCTCAGCTCTGCTCTGCAGATAAAGGACCTGAAGCTCAGAAGTGACATGCTGTGCTCGAGTTCACACAGCTAGGAGACAGCAGAGGAATGGAATGAATCAAGGCTGTCGTCTTCCTAAGTTCATTATCTCCCATTCAATGTTGCTTTTGGAATCTTTTTTTTTTTGAGACGGAGTCTCACTCTGTCGCCCAGGCTGGAGTGCAGTGGCGCGATCTTGGCTCACTGCAGCCTCCACCTCCCGGGTTTACACCATTCTCCTGCCTCAGTGTCCCGAGTAGCTGGGATTACAGGTGCCTGCCAGCACACCTGGCTAATTTTTTTTGTATTTTTTTTAGTAGAGGCAGGGTTTCATCGTGTTTGCCAGGAGGGTCTCAATCTCCTGACCTCGTGATCCACACACCTCGGCCTCCCAAAGTGCTGGGATTACAGGTGTGAGTCACCTTGCCTGGCCGCTTTTGAAATCTTATGACAAAAACGGACTTAAGGCCAGATGCTTTACATGTCATAATCATCAGTAAATGCGAGGCACTCAGCTGTGTGCCCAGCATGCAGTAAACCTCCATCAGTGTTAGTTACGTGAATTCATTCAATCCTCACGACTGTTGCAGGTTCCACATGTGATGGGGCAAGGGTCCCACAGAGGCCACATGTGTGACTGAGGCCATGAAACTTAAGTGGCAGAGCCGAGGTGTGAACTCCTGCAGACGGGATCCTCTGGCCTGCCCTTCCTCTGGCTCTGCAAACACGTGCTCTGATCTGTGGGTCTCAGGGTGCCTCTGAACTCAGATAACAAAAACCCTTCAGGGTGAAACCTTGGCTTCTGCTAAAGCTGAGCTGGTGGCAAACTGACATTCGCTTCTGGTTCAGCAACCAGAACTACCTCTGCTCTCCCCGTGGCTGTGTCTCCCCCTCCCCACCCCTCACTCCAGCCTGAGGCACCCAGGGGCCCACGAGTCACTGAGGTGACTTGCTTTTTTTGTTTTTTGAGACAGTGTCGCTCTGTCACCCAGGCTGGAATGCAGTGGTGCGATCTCAGCTGACTGCAACCTCTGTGTCCCGGGTTCAAGCGATTCTCCTGCCTCAGCCTCCTGAATAGCTGGGATTACAGGCACATGGCACTATGCCCAGCTAATTTTTGTATTTTTTTTTTTTTTTTTTTTTTAGTAGAGACAGGGTTTCACCATGTTGGACAGGCTGTTCTGGAACTGCTGACCTCAACAGACCCACGCGCCTTGGCCTCCCAAAGTGCTGGGATTACAGGTGTGAACCACTGCCCGGCCCTCAGTATTTAGGCAGGACCCGCCCTGCTCCCCCCTACTCTAAGAAACTTCTTGAACCCAACTGTCTCCTCACCTCACTGAGGTTAACTTCAATTAGTTGGTCATAATGGCAGCCAGGGTCAGGCACCAGGTGATCCTTGAATTCATCAGCTAGATTGGCAATGTCTGAAATCAACAAGGGACTGGGATGGAGCACGTGAAACAGAAACTGTTCTCGAGCGTTCACTCACCACCCACCTGAACACCTGCCAAACACCAGGCCCTGGGCGCTGACTAGGCCAATGAAGAAACCAAGGCTGCTGTCCCTGCCCTTACAGAGCTCACACCCTAGTGCAGGAGCTGTCAGGGACACGGTGACACAGAGGAGGAGCACCAGCGAAGGTTCAGAGCCGGGGAGGGTGTCCTAGAAGTGAAGAGCTGGGTTTTGAAGCAGCAGTCACTCATTAAGGAAAGGGAAGGGCCTTCCAAGGATTCCACGTGCTTACGGCTCTCCCCACAGGCCCTGGTCTCTGGCTCCTCCTTCACTCCCCCCACGCACCACCCTTCACAGGTGCCAGTGCCCTCTGAGCTCCAAAGAAGCCAAGCTAGAGCCTCAGGAAGTTGTCAGGGGAGGCTGGGAAGGTGGTTCTCCTTCCAGATGTTCCCGTTAGGTCAGGAATTATCAACAGAAGTGATCCCTGTCATTTCCGGAGCTTCCTGTAGTGGACAGCAGGGACCAGCCCGAGAAGGGCGGGCATTCAGCCACCTTCCAGGGAAAATGAAATTCCCATCCTGAGGTGGGGCTATCTTGAACTCAGACACCAGGCCCTTTAGAAGCTGGAGAGAGCTCCAGACAGAAACATATCGCACCTCTTCAGGGCTTTCTCAGAGCCTCAGACGCCTGTCTGGAGACACTGGGTTAAGGGCCCCTGCCCTACAGGGAAAGGCGTAGCTCTGTCTTGGGGAGGAGCAGGCATGTGACTGTCCCACCCACACAGGCCTGCCCCCGCCAGCTCACCTGCCCGGCCAGTCTTGCTCAGGTACTTCTTCATCCGGTGGTTGTAAGGGAACACGGAAGTGGTGGCCCCAATTTCTGCGCCCATGTTGCAGATTGTCGCCATGCCTGTGGAGCAAAAGAGCTCTGGGCATTGGCTGGTGGTCAGGCCACGGTCCCATGCACCTGCTACACGGTCACCCGCATCTTCACACCAGGGAGCTGCATCACTTCTCCCCGCTGAGAGATGTGGTGATAGCGGGCCGACTCATTCCTTGAGGCCCTGGGTAAAAACCTGGGCCAGTGAGGGGAGGCCATGGGGACCAGAGCTCAGGGCCCCAGCTCAGGACGGCTGCTGGGTAGAGTGAAGAGGACTCAGGTGAAGATTCAGCCCCCACACACTGAGCTACAAGTTTGGGGCCTGTCGCTCAAGAGACCAAACAGACACCACGTACTGAAGGCTGACCTGGCCAGACACTGCCCAGTTGCTATTCTTTTTGGCAGGGGAGGAACTGGCTCAGAGAGATTCAAGCTCATGCCATAAAGCACATAAAGGAAGATGCTGGCATTCGGGTCTCGGTCTGTCTGCCTGGTGGCCCGCCCTCCTTCAGCCATACCACGGTGGAGACATTTTTCTGTGTCTCAAGTTTTCCAGTGATGGAGGCCGAGGCGGACGGATCACCTGAGGTCAGGAGTTTGAGACCAGCCTGGCCAACATGGTGAAACCCCGTCTCCTCTAAAAAAAAAAAAAAAAAAACAGGCTGGCGAGGTGGCTCACATCTGTAATCCCAGCACTTTGGGAGGCCAAGGTGGGCAGATCACGAGGTCAAGAGATCGAGACCATCCTAGCCAACATGGTGAAACCCCGTCTCTACTAAAAATACAAAAATTAGCAGGGTGTGGCAGCATGCACCTGTAGTCCCAGCTACTTGGGAGGCTGAGGCAGGAGAATCGCTTGAACCTGGGAGGCGGAGGTTGCAGTGAGCCGAGATCGCGCCACTACACTCCAGCCTGGTGACACAGCAAGACTCCGGCTCAAAACAAAACAAAACAAAACAATACAAAAAAATTAGCTGGGCATCGTGGTACACGCCTGTAATCCCAGCTACTCAGGAGGCTGAGACCAGAGAATCGCTTGAACCCGGGAGGTAGAGATTGCAGTGAGCCGAGATTGTACCACTGCATTCCAGCCTGGGCGACAGGGTGAGACTCCGTCCCAAAAAACAAAAACAAAAACAAAACTGAAATGATACACACTGTCTGGACCACAAAGCGTCACAGAACTGGTGGGGCTCACAGGTACCCCAGCTGCTACCAGGCCCCCTGCCTCAGGAGCCACTAGGACGGAGGTAGGGGCCTGTTACCAACTTCCCGGTTGAGCAGTCCCGTGGCGGGAGTGAGCCCATCACTGCAGGGGAACCAGAGTTCTGCAGGGCTGCCAGGGAGCCCAGGCAGGCAGCTGGGAAGTCTGGACTGTTGCAAGTCTCCCTGGATTTCTGAGGGCCAGGCATCGAGGCCAGGTCACCAGGACTGACAGGCAGGGAGCAGCCAGCTCCCACCTGGTCTTGGAGGATGACAGGCACCAATCTCTAATCCAAGGGAAGTATGTGAGGCTCAAACTTCAGCCAAGGGAGAATGTGCGCCTGCAGCTGCTTCATGAATGAAGCCCTGGCTCTGCCCATTCCCACCACTGCCTCTGTCCTCTCTGGATTCGTCTAGATCACCCAAGGTGGCCTAGTGCTATGGCCTGGGCCCAGTCGCAGGAGCTGACTTGGTTCCTAACTGTGTGTGGCCACAGGAAGACACTGGCAGCCTTGACGGGGGTCTCAGCCTCTTCATCTGTTTAATGAGGGTGTGGACTAGACAATCTCTAATGCTGTCTCCAATTTTCCTTCTACCTCTGTCTATTCCAAGTCCCCAGACGGAAGAGACAGATTCTCAAGGGAAGGCCATTCATTGCTTCTACTCCCAACTGGAGACCCATGAGGCCCAGCACAGGGTAGGGGCCACGTCGCCTGGCTGCCTTCCTCACCAGTGCAGGAGATGGAGTCTACACCAGGCCCGTGGTATTCCACGATTGCACCTGTGCCACCTTTCACCGTGAGGATGCCTGCCACCTTCAGGATCACATCTTTGGGTGAGGTCCAACCAGAGAGGGAGCCTGTCAGCTTCACGCCAATCACCTGGACAGGAGGGGGTGAGGCGGCTGTCAGAGGCCCTGTGTGCCTGTGCCAGCCACAAAGTCAGGATGGGCCCGCTGCTATTCCCATTGCTGCTTACTGGTCTCTGCCTCCCTCCCAGAAGATTCGAGTTTGATTTGTTCCCTTTTTCCTCCTGGGTCCCATCGTCTCCTGTTCATCCCCTGTTCATCCCCACCAACCACCGCCCCGAATCCAGCCCAGAATGAGTCCCTCCCCACCCTCACCTTGGGACACTTCAGCTCCCAGGGGATCCCAGCCATGACATCCACAGCATCGGCACCCCCAACTCCAATGCAGATGCCCCCCAGGCCGCCACCATTGGGGGTGTGGGAGTCAGTGCCAATCAGAAGAACCCCAGGGTATGCATAGTTTTCCAGAATAATCTGAAAAATAATCCAAGATGTTAATATTTAGAAGCCCTCAGCCGAGAATGGAGATGGGGCCCAAAAGGGGTCTACAAAATGGCCCCATTGACCCTGGGCCTCCCGACCACGCCCAGCCACTCTCCCAGGATAGACTGGTGGAAGCAGTCCCGTTTAATCCAGACGGTCTCCAGGGTGGCCAAGAAGAGTCAGAGCCTTGGGAGACAGGTGGCCTGGGCTCTTGAGTAGCTCCGATAGTTCCTGCTATATGGCCTGGGCTTTTGAATGCTGCCCCATGCCTCAGTTTCCTCATTTGTAGCATAGTAACCAAACACCCACACCACCATGACCCCAGGATGTGACAAGAACCAGAGAAACTGTCCTGTGATGGGCCCAGGCCCGGCCTCATCCTGGGTGTGGAGAGTCCCCACCTGGCTTCTCATCGGGGTGAGCAATTCTTCCAGGAGCTGACTCCAGCCCCACAAGATCCCTGAGGAAGAAGTCCTGGGGCCCCAACGGGTGCACAAAGCTATTAATTTTTCCTCAACTGCAAAGAATAGGTGATGCCTCGTTCACTTCAGCATCTGGAGGTGGCTCTGAGAACCTCTGTGACTTGCTCAAGGGACAACGCCACCCTGCCTCATCACCTGTCTCATTTCACAGCACTCCCTTCACTGAGGCTCTCCTCCCAGCTGGGGGGAGCACTTCCCCCAAAACATTTGACAAGAAAGGCAGCAGAGGTATAGGGTCAACAAATGAGTGTGGCCCAGGCACCTCTGAGGCACCAGCCCACTGAAGCTGCAGGACACTGCCGGGCAAGCCCTGAGCCAGGCATCCTGTGCAGGGGTCTGAGGTCTGGCCCTACCATGTACTAGTTGTTGTGGGACCTTGGACAAGTCACTTCACCTCTCCGAGCTCAGCTTCCCTATCAAAAAATAGCTAACAATCGTGCTCACATCATTGCATCACTAATGACTGGATGAGATCCTGTCCATGAGGCATGGAATAGTGCCTGGGGGAGGCGACATTTTTATTTATTGTTTTGCAGCAAAAGCCTTCACCTGAGGTTCTGCCGTTCATCTGTCAGATGGAGTTAGTGCCCCACCCATGGATGTGGGGAAGAACACATAAGATGAGAGGTCTGAGAGGCTCTGTGAACTCTCAGGACCCACCAGTGCTCCCAGACATCTTACAGAAACCCCAGGGCCTCTGCCTCAGGCCAAGATCTGCCCAGCAGACTCTAAGGTGCAAAGGGTCTTGTCTCTTGGGGATGCAGAGGGAAGAGCTGGCTGCGAAGAACTGCTGCTGCCATGTACAAGGATTTAAGACTGGTACATCCCTAAAGAGCCTCAAGGTTGTAAAAGCTGGATCCATGAAGGCTGGGCACACAGAATTCGGGGTGTCTACATGGTGTAGACACACGTGGTCCACATCCGAGGACATGAGGACTGCAGAAGGTGTCACAATGACGCTGGCCGTGACAGTAAGCTCCCCAGTCTGTGGCTGGGAAGAAGGACTAATGCCTAGAACTACACCTGGAAATTCAGCCGTGCATCCACACAACACACATGTACATTAAGGACCTATTCTGTACTGACCTGGTCCCAAACCCAGAGCTAGAGAGGAATAAGTAAGCCACAGTCCCTGTCCCCACAGAGCACAAGATCCAGTGCAGAAAGCACTTGGCACATGCTGGGAACATAATGTGAAGAGATCCCACAGAGGATCCCACTGGAAGCCACTGTGCCAGGCACGGGAAGGGCTGGGGAGGATCCACAGAGGAACCAGAAAGCTGTGATGTGGAGGAAGGTCTGCGGGCCAAGCAGGGCCAGAGCACTCCTCGGAGGGAAAGGGGTTCAGGTTTGGGTTGGACCTAGTGGACTGAGGCTGCTGATGACGTGACATCAAGGCAGGAAGAAAAGTAAAGCTGCAAAGTACTCCCATGGCCCCTGGGCATTTTCTTTTTAAAGAAACAAACACATGAGGCTGTATACTTAGCCAGCCGGTGGCAGGTGTGAGCTGCCATCACTCACGGTTCCCAACTTTGGCCCAGGAGCTGCCATAAAGGTCTGGGCATTTGTACTGAGGTAGAAAGGGAGACACCTGCATTGCAGCGCCCTTCCTAACAGAAAGCCAAGGCTGGGTCCGCCTGACTCCCTAACCCTGCTGCAGAGAGGGGCTTTCTAGTCCCCACAGGCCGCTGCGAATGGCCATTCCCAGGTAGCCCCTTCCTGGCAAGAGTGACGGTTGGGTAGGACAGAGGAGTGATCCCCTGCTGGCTCTGGTTTCAGAGCAGGGCAGTGCTGGGGACTCATGCGGGGTCAGATTACAGCCTGCTCAGCACACCCTGAGGAGGCCCGGACAGTGAGGTCTGCGATGAGGTGGGGGGAAGGGTCACTTTGCAAAGATGCGAAGAGGCAGGTTTCATACATACAGGGTGGATGTAAATGAACACAAACCAGGTCAGTGGTCTGTAACAGTGCCCTTGGAAGAAAGGGAAGCACCTACCTCCCCAGGACATACATGTTCACACTTGCACTTCCAGAGATGAAACTGTCCACCAAAAGAAGACCCATCCTTGGGACACCTCAGAAGAGTCCCTGGCTGACATGGCCACATGACCTATGGTACCTCCACTCTACAGAACACCATGAGGGAGCCAAAATGAATCCGAGGAGCGCACCACGTGCAGAAGCAGAAAGAGCTCTGGGGGTGAGGAAGGTGGCAGAGCAGCACGGTGGCACGGGGCACTTGCTCCAGGCCAGCCCTCCTGCCCACATGTCCTGGCTCCACAGTTAGCCAGCCAGCTGTCCCTCTGTGCCTCAGCTGCCTCCTCTGTAGGGTGTGGACAGTAAAAGCACCTACCTCACAGGGCATGGCGAATATCTTTCTTTCAAGTGCTCAGCCTAGTAGTACCTGACACACAGTATGGGTTCATCAAATGTCAGCGATGCATGCCACAAGGGGTGACACTTGTGAAAAAAAACAAAATAATACCATGTTCTGTATGAGAGTTTACGGGAATAGAGATGCTTGAATACACGCCCAGAAGACAATGTGGAAAGAAACATGTCGCACTTAACATGCTGGTTACCTGGGTGGTTAGGAGGGATTATTTTAACTTCTCACCCAGAAAATGAGAACGTATAATGACATAATGAAAATCAGTTTCAAAACAAAGGAGGAAGACCATAAGAGCTGATGGAGATGTCATCCAGTTCCCCTCAGCCCCCCTGGGCCTCGAGCCCCCTGCCCCCATAGGCCTGGAACATACTCTCTGGCTTGGGCTCTTGGGACGGCAGGCTGAGCCCAGCTTTACCTGGTGAATGATTCCAGATCCAGGCTTCCAGAAGCCCACGCCATATTTGGCACCTGCAGTTGCCAGGAAATTATAAACTTCCTGGTTGATGTCCTATTGAGACAAATCAATAATCGGGTGTTAGCAACATGGTTTGTGTCCACGTGACCCTCACCAAGCCCTCCCCACCCCACTAGCCTCCCTTCTGACTCTGAAATGCTGGCACTGGAGACAGGCCCTCTCTTAGAGACCTTCTAAAAATAATTTCAAAGAGCTTGGATGTTGGCCCAGTCTCCACTAGCAGTGCCAGAGAGAAAGACAGGGGAGCAGAGATGGAGCCCCAGTTCTGTGACACCTGGCCAGGGTGGTGGGTCTGGAACAAGTCCCTGCCCTAGTCTGGGTCTCAGTTTCCTTATCTGGAGAAGGGACTGGTCTAAATAATTGCCAAGAGTCCCTGTGGCACTCAAGTCCCCAGCCGAGGCCAACAGTGTAGAGGCAGGCCGTGGCCCAGGCGCAGTGGCCAGGCATGGTGGCTCATGCCTGTAATCCCAACACTTTGGGAGGCTGAGGCAGGTAGATCACTTGAGGTCAGGAGTTCAAGACCAGCCTGGGCAACATGGCAAAACCCTCTCTCTACTAAAAATACAAAAATTAGCCAGGTGTGATAGCGCACACCTGTAATTCCAATTACTCGGGAGGCTGAGGCACGAGAATTGGTTGAACCTGGGAGACAAAGGGTGCAGTAAGCCAAGATCGTGCCATTGCATTCCAGCCTAGGAGACAGCGAGACTCTGTCTCAAAAAATAAAAATAAAAATAAAATAAATAAAAATTAGCTGTGCACCTGTGGTCCCAGCTACCTGGGGGCCGAGGCAGGAGGATCACTTGAGCCCAGGAGTTCAAGGCTGCAATGAGCTGAGATTGCACCATTATACTCCCGCCTGAGTGACGGGGCAAAACCTTGTCTCAAAAAAACAAAACAGGCCTGGCGTGGTGGCTCACCTGTAATCCCAGCACTCTGGGAGGCCGAGGCGGGCAGATCACGAGGTTAGGAGATCGAGACCATCCTGGCTAACACAGTGAAACCCCGTCTCTACTAAAAATACAAAAAATTAGCTGGGCGTAGTGGCGGGTGCCTGTAGTCCCAGCTACTCGGGAGGCTGAGGCAGCAGAATAACATCAACCTGGGAGGCGGAGCTTGCAGTGAGCCGAGATCTCGCCACTGCACTCCAGCCTGGGGCGACAGAGTGAGACTCCTCTCACAAACAAAACAAACCAAAACAAAACCCCCCGAGGCTTTTTTTGAAATAGCTTGCTGGAGATCCCAGACTTAGGCAACACCTGAGCGAGCCCCCTGGACTGGGGTCTGGCTGTCAGAAGTGCTGAATTCTTGCTAATGTGATGGGCCCAAATGGAAGGCTGTCAAATGGACCACTGTTCTGAAAAGGAGGTTTCAGCAAAAGGAATGATGACATGGGCTGTAGCCATCCTGCCTGTAATCCGAAGGAAGCTTCCTTGGGGGACAGGGAAGGGCCCACTGCACGGTAGATGTGAGGCCAGGATTTATCTGGAAGACATGGGAGGTCCCTGGACAAGTGAGACTGACCCCAGTGACAAAAGGGTGGGACTCTAGTGGACTCTACTGAGCCTCAAAGGAGGAACTAGGAAATGGGACCTGCCAGCCTCTGGCATGGGAGAGCCATGCTTCTGAGAAGGGACCCCAGCCAACGCCCTCAGACCCTTGACAAGATACACTCAAACCACACACCCCTTCACTGAAACTCCAGACCAGTGTGCGTCCTCTGAAGGCCCACTGGGCTCCCCCAGATAAGAGAATGGCAAAGAACGTGGGTTTCCAGAGCAGTCTCTTTCCAATTAATAATTAATACACCAGCTTTTTCATTTACAAATCAGTCACTTATGAAACTGGTATCCAGGACAGAAGGCTGTGGTTGTGTCTGGGCACATGTGCCTATACGTCTGTGTTGAGTGTGAGGAAGGGGTGTGGGAGGACCCCAGACTGGTGCCAGAGTCTCGGCCTGGACTCAGTCTGGATCCCTCTCTGATTCTGTTACCTTAAACAGGTCACTGCCTCTCTGAGCCCTAGCCAGAGGGACACTTTACAAATACATGTAAAGATGACCATATTCTAGGCCAGGCATGGTGGCTCGCACCTGTAATCCCAGCACTCTGGGAGGCCGAGGTGGGTGGATCACCTGATGTCAGGAGTTTGAAACCAGCCTGGCCAACATGGTGAAACCCTGTCTCTACTAAAAATATGAAAATTAGCTGGGTATGGTGGTGAGTGCCTGTAATTCCAGCTACTCGGGAAGCTAAGGCATGAGAATTGCTTGAACCCAGGAGGCAGAGGTTATAGTGAGCTGAGACTGCAGTGAGCCGAGATTGCGTCACTGCACTCCAACCTGGGGGTAGAGCAAGACTCTGTCTCAAAAAAAAAGAGACCATACTCTTTTCCTGCTTAAACCATTCTAGGACTCTGAGGATGGTGATCACAGCCCTTCCCAGAGCCCTCAAGTCCCTGGCTGCCCCTGCCCACCTCACACCACCCGCTCTTCCAAACGCAGAGAGCTCCAGCACTACAGTCCCCCTCTCACTGCCACAAAAGCATCAAGTTCCTTCCTGCCCCAGGGCCTTTGCAAATGCTGTTCTTTCTAGCATATTCTTGCTCCAGTCAATGCAACTCATATGTTCAGTCCTCAGGTTATCTGTCACATCCTCAAAGAAGCTATCTCTTTCCCCCAACATCTAAATTAGACCTCTTTTTTACACTGACCAAGTCCTGCACTTTCTCTTCCTAACACACACCCAGATCTGCAGTTACCTACCTCGGCCACTGTTTAGCATCCACCCCTCCAAGCAGATCCCTGAAGGCAGGGCCCCTGCCTGACTTGAACACACTGAACCTCAGTACCTAGCCCAGTGCCTGGCACACATGAAGAATGTTCAATTTGTTGAATGCATGAGGGAATGAGCTCTGAATCCTATGACCATGAATCTCATCTCCAGAAGGTTGACTCTGAGCCCATAAAGCAAGCAGAGGGCCAGCCCCTGAAGGCAGTGGCCCTGCTGTGGGCAGCTGTCCCCAGGGCTGAAGAGGACCCACGTTCCTGGCCATGTGCAGCTCCCGGCACTGTGGGAGCTCCTGTAACATGACCCCCACCAGCGTTGCTGCTAATGTGGAAACCGCCAGCCGGCAGGCAGGACTATCCTTTCAGCTGAGTGGAAAGAGCCACTGTGGAGCCAGGACACACACCAGGGGGCCAGGGTAGAAGAGAGGGCCTGAGTGAGAGCGCCGCCCTGAGTGTTTCCCATGGGTCTGGGAGGCTCTGAGCCATGCTGACCCCGGGAGCCAGAGCACTTTCAATCGCATGCCCATAGGCCGCAGCTCTGCCAGCATTCAGCTCCTGCCAATACCCCTCCCCGTGAGGGGGTTCACTCCCACTGCAGGGGCTGGAGAGTGCAGAGGCCCAGAGCTGGGAGAGAGTGGCCCGCTGTTGCCAAGAGTAGGCTGCCACAAAGAGTAGACTCCCACAAGCTGAGCCTGGGAGAAGGAGCAGGAACTCGATTTCATAGAAGGGTGGGGAAAAGCTTCCGCGTGGCATACAGCCACCCCCATGTAGTTAAGCGAAACTCACAGAAGAATGGTCCCCAAAGAAGGTTCCTCAGTGAGAGAGCACCAGAGTGGGAGCCAAGATCAGCGCTGAGCCCTAATCGTGCCCTCATGTAGTTACAGAACCCAAGTATGGTGCCACTGCCACCTCAAATGTACAAATAGTGACCCTAGCAGGCCTACCTCCCGCACAGGGTCCTCGGAAGGTCAGAGGAGAGCGGGAGTGGGTGCAGATGGGATGCTGGCAAACTGTGCTAAGATGCGCCCCTCACTGCTCAGGCAGACAGGGACTCCTTCCAGAGCCCCTTGCAGGGCTCTGCAGGGCCCCTTCCAGAGCACCTGGCAGGATTCAATCATCTTCCAACAGGACAGAAAAAGGACGTGTAGTGTGGGAAAGTCAAGGATGACTTTTACTTTCTTTGGGCTTCTTCTGTATTTTTTTTTTTTTTTTTTTTTTTTTGAGACGGAGTCTGGCTCTGTCGCCCAGGCTGGAGTGCAGTGGCCGGATCTCAGCTCACTGCAAGCTCCGCCTCCTGGGTTTACGCCATTCTCCTGCCTCAGCCTCCCGAGTAGCTGGGACTACAGGCGCCGCCACCACGCCCGGCTAGTTTTTTGTATTTTTTTAGTAGAGACAGGGTTTCACCGTGTTAGCCAGGATGGTCTCGATCTCCTGACCTCGTGATCCGCCCGTCTCGGCCTCCCAAAGTGCTGGGATTACAGGCTTGAGCCACCGCGCCCGGCCTTCTTCTGTATTTTTTAACACAATGAGCAAGTGGTAGTTTTAGAAAGAGTAAAAAGTAAACTCAAGTTTTAAAAGCAGACCAATCCAAAGAACTGTGAGAATTTGCAGGCAATGCCCTGGTTTGCTCCAGTGTGAGAGTGAGGCCTCTCACCCAGTCTTGCCCACTTGCCCGCCCCCAAGGCCACCTTCCACTCACCTTGGCCCGGCGCAGGTCTTTCTCGCCCCCGAGCTGGGCCTCAATCAGATGGTCACAGTGGATGGTGGACGGCACGGCCACCTTGGGCAGCCCGCTGCTGATGAACTGCAGCATGGCCATCTGGGCCGTCGCATCCTGCATGGCCACACGGTCCGGCCGCAGCCGCAGGTACGACTTGCCCCGCTCGATTTCCTGGCCGGCGGGGTCATCCAGGTGTCCATACACGATCTTCTCCGAGAGGGTCAGCGGCCGGTTCAACCTGGTGGGAGAAGAGCAAAAGGGTGACCTGGTGCCAGCTGCACGGCCTCCTCCCACCCTGCCTCTCCCTCTCAGTCCACATGGCAACCTCAACAGTGGCCAGGGTCAGTGAGCCTGAACTCAGGACCTCACGTTCCACTTGGGTGGGGACTGCTGGGTCCTGCTCAGTGTGCCACCTCCTCACCTCCCGCAGCACCTGGCACTTGTTAGGTGCTCCACAATTACTTGGTGAGTAAGTGAAGGACATCACAGGAGGGCAGCGCTGGTTCTTTTCAAAGGATCCTGGCTTTCCCAGCATAGTAACTGCTATGATCTAAGTCCCCGTAACATGCATATCTCATCATTTTCGCCATTTAACAAAACCACCAAGAAGAAACAGGCTCAGCAGAGTGACCAAGTTCACAGATAGATTTTGCTACTTCCCTCTGTGCCCTCAGCCCCACTAAGGCGCAGGGAATCAGGACCAGCATCCCCTTTACTTGTCCCCCCGTCCACCATCTCCAACCCTCCACACCTCAGGCCTGGGATGCCTGGCTAACCAACTATGACACTAAAGCTTTGCCCATTAGCTCTGGACATAGACAGGAGTATCTGTCAGTTTTCAAGAACAGAGACCCGGTCACTGCCACCGGCCTCTCACTGCTCCTCCTCTTCCTAGACCCCATTTCCCCGGAGACTCTACCCCTCCCTTCCTCTTCAGAGCCCAAATGGCAATCCAAACCTGCCCTGGGGTCCAGTCCTGTCAGGACTCAACCGTCTTCTCCCGCCAAGCCTCCCACCCATCTAGACCGAGCTCTGTGCGGGTCCACTCTCCCTACCAGGCTCAACGTTCCCACTGACTCCTGGCTGCACCCACACAACAGATCAGCCGCCCTGCCTGCCACAACAGCCCCTGTCGGACCTCACCCTCTGCCCCCGAGAATTCTCAAAGCCTAGGCCAAGCTTGAGACTTCCTTCCTAGGGAGGAGCAGAGTTTGACCCACACCCAACCGTCTCTGTCCTATTGTTTGAGGCCCAGAAAAAAGTTTCAGACTGGGAATCAGAAGCTCTGAGTTAAACCCTGACCTGGGGCCTGGTGTGGTGGCTCACGCCTGTAATCTTAGCATTTTGGGAGACCAAAGCAGGAGGATCACTTGAGGCCAGTTCAAGATCAGCCTGGGCAACAGAGTGACACCACGTCTCTATAAAAAATAGAATGAGGCCGGGTGCAGAGGCTCACGCCTGTAATCTCAGCACTTTGGGAGGCTGAGGTGGGTGGATCACGAGGTCAGGAGATCAAGACCATCCTGGCTAACACAGTAAAACCCTGTCTCTACTAAAAACACAAAAAAATAGCCAGGTGTGGTGGCAGGCGCCTGTAGTCCCAGCTACTTGGGAGGCTGAGGCAGGAGAATGGGGTGAACCTGGGAGGCGGAGCTTGCAGTGAGCCAAGATCACGCCACTGCACTCCAGCCTGGGCGACAGAGCGAGACTCCGTCTCAAAAAAAAAGCCAGGCAGGGTGATGCGTGCCTGTAGTCCCAGCTATGCAGGAGGCTGAGGCGGGAGGATCACTTAAGCCCAGGAGATCAAGGCAGCAGTGAGCCATGATCACACCACTGCACTCCAGCTTGAGCAACAGAGTGAGATGCTGTCTCTAATAAAAACAAACAAAAAAGCCCAAATCGGACCTATTACTGAAGCCACTATTTAACAAGATAAGCAACTGCTGTCATCAGTGAGCTCAGCCAGCCCATCTCTAAAGTCCAGGGCTTGCGCTGGGATGAGATAACAGCTTGCACTTCTATAGCGCTCCATTTTTAAACCGCTTGATTCAGGTATAATTGGCATATAATAAACTGCATATTTAAGTACACAATTTGCTAAGTGTTGACACTGTATACACCTGTAAAAACCAGCACCACAATCAAGATATGGACCATATCCATCTCTCCTTCAAGTTTCCCCAACCCTTGGTAACTCCCTCCCACCCCTTTGCCACCATTGATGGGCTTTCTGTCACTAGAGACCAGCGTTATTGTAGAATTTACTTTCAGCTCAGCATTATCCTAAGCATTTTCTTTTTTTGTTGTTGTTCTTTTTTTTTGAGACGGAGTCTTGCTCTGTTGCCCAGGCTGGAGTGCAGTGGCCGGATCTCAGCTCACCGCAAGCTCCGCCTCCCGGGTTTACGACATTCTCCTGCCTCCGCCTCCCGAGTAGCTGGGACCACAGGCGCCCGCCACCTCGCCCGGCTATTTTTTTGTATTTTTTTAGTAGAGACGGGGTTTCACCATGTTAGCCAGGCTGATCTCGATCTCCTGACCTCGTGATCCGCCCATCTCGGCCTCCCAAAGTGCTGGGATTACAGGCTTGAGCCACCACGCCCGGCCTATCCTAAGCATTTTCATGTATAAAACTCATTTTATCCTCACAGCACAGATGAGGAAGCTGCAGCACAGATAGACAGAGTAGCTTTGCTCCAGACCGCGAAGTCAGCGAGGGGCACAGCTGGACCATGAAGAGGCAGCAGTGTGGCCCTACAGCTGTGCTCCTGACACTAATCTACACAGTCTCTCCACACATGGAACCTGGAATGGGGCCGGCACATGGTGAAATGTTCCATTTTCATTATTATTATTATTTTGAGACAGGGTCTTGCTCTGTCACCCAGGTTGGAGTGCAGCGGCACAACTGTAGCTCACTGCAGCCTAAACCTTTCAGGTTCAAGCGATCCTCCCACCTCAGCCTCTGAGTAATTGAGATTACAGGCATGTACCACCACACTGGCTAATTTTATTTATTTATTTATTTTGTTTTAGTAGAAATGGGTTCTCATTATATTGACCAGGCTGGTCTTGAACTCCTGGGCTCAAGTGATCTTCCCGAAGAGCTGGAATTACAGGTGTGAGCCACCTCGTCCTTTCTCATTTATCGTTATTGTTATCATCAATATGCATGCTGAGAAGGCAGAGAAACTTCCTTCTGCAAGCTGGGTTCCAGTCCCTCACCCCTAAGTTTACCCAACCTCTTCAAAGTAAGAGTTCCCGGCTGGGTATGGTGGCTTACGACCAGCATCGTAGCACTTTGGGAGGCCAAGGCGGATGGATCACTTGAGTCCAGGAGTTCGAGACTAGCCTGGGCAACATGGCAAAACTCCACCTCTATAAAAAATATAAAAAGAAGCCAGGCATGGATGGTGGCATGTGCCTATAGTCCCAGATACTTGGAAGGCTGAGGTGGTGAATGGATTGACCCCAGAAGGTCAAGGGTCCAGTGAGCCATATCGAACCACTGCACTGCACTCCAGCCTGGGTAACACAGCAAGACCCTACCTCAAAAAAAAAAAAAAAAAAAATTCCCTAAGGTGCTGGATCTGCTGGCAACAGCAGACTGGTGATTCTGAGCATCTCTACGAATAAAAATAGCACTAGCCTGAGGTACGGCCTGCGCCGATTGCGGCAGCACTGCCAAAACTGGTGTACAGGCAATGACTCACTGCAGGCAGCACAGCCCCTCCTTCTGGGCCCCGAGGGAGACAACAAATAGCACATGGGCTTAAAAACCCAAGACCTTGGAAGCAAATGATTGAAGCTATATAAAAAAGCTAATGATGCTGAAGTTTTAGAATGAGTTCATCACTGAATGTCCCTGAGGATTAACTAAGGATGACAAAATGGGTCTTCATGTCCATCTGTCCCTCTGCTCTCCAGATGACACAGATCCAGTTCTCAAGAACACACTTAGACTCCTTCTGTCAGCAACCCAAGGTGGAAGAAGAGTCCCCCAGCAAGTCCCTTGGCCTTCTAAAAAATTCTTAGAATTTTTTTTTTTTCTATTTTTATTTTTTGAGCCAGAGTCTCTTCCTCTGTCACCAGAGACACCACTCTGACTGGAGTGCTGTGGCATGGTCTCAGCTCACTGCAACATCCACCTCCTGGGTTCAAGCAATTCTCCTGCCTCAGCCTGCCGAGTAGCTGGGATTACAGGTGCTTGCCACCATGCCCGACTAATTTTTTTGTATTTTTAGTAGACACAGGGTTTCACCATGTTGGCAAGCCTGGTCTCAAACTCCTGGCCTCAAATGATCCACCTGCCTCAGCTTCCCAAAGTGCTGGGATTACAGGCATGGGCCACCACGCCCGGCTAGAATATAATTCTTTTTAGCATAGCCTCACCTCTGCCCTCTTTCTCTGTGTCAGGGTTTCGCAGCCAGGGCACCGTGAACCTGTCTGGGCCGGAGGATTCTTTTGTCGTGGGGCTGCCCTGTGCGCTGCAGGATGCTTGGTAGTATTCCTGGTTACCCATTGGCTAACAGTAAGCCCCAACCCCAGCCAAGTTATGACAACCAAAAATATCTCTAGACATCACCAAATGGGCCCTAGGGTACAAAATTGACCACCCCCTACCTTGTTGAGACCTGCTCTGCGGCAACAATGAAAACAGAGAACAGGCCGGGCGTGGTGGCTCACACCTGTCATCCCAGCACTTTGGGAGGCTGAGGCAGGTGGATCACAAGGTCAGGAGATTGAAACCATCCTGGCTAACATGGTGAAACCCTGTTTCTACTAAAAATACAAAAATCAGCTGGACATGTTGGCAGGCGCCTGTAATCCCAGCTACTCGTGAGGCTGAAGCAGGAGAATCACTTGAACCTGGGAGGCAGAAGTTGCACTGAGCCGAGATCGCACCACTGCAGTCCAACCTGGGCAATACAGCAAGAATCCGTTTCAAACAAACAAAAAAGAGAAAACAGAGAACAATCCTCATCTGTACTAATCTGGAAAATGTTAAAAGTTATTGGACTTAAAAAAAAAAGAAAACGAAAATGAAAAAAAAAAATTATTGGACTTTTCTGGTTAAGCAAGTTTGGAAAAAAAATAAGCAAAGGAAAAATATTGTTGTAGTTGTCAATTTTAATGATAAAATTAAAATCTAAAAAACTCCCAGTGCCTTAAAGAGTATTTTGTTGTTGTTATTAATTGTTTAATGCAAAAACTAAATGGTGAATAATACTCTTCTGTCAATTATCTCAAAGCGAACCTCTTGCTGGGCACAGTGGCTCAGGCCTGTAATCCCAACACTTTGGGAGGCCAAAGGCAGGAGGATCACTTGTGCCCAGGAGTTCAAGACCAGCTTGGGCAACCCCATCTTTTAAATTTTTTTTTTTTTTATAAATTAAAAAAACAAAAAAGGGCCGGGCGCGGTGGCTCACGCCTGTAATCCCAGCACTTTGGGAGGCCGAGGTGGGAGGCCGAGGTGGACGGATCACGAGGTCAGGAGATCGAGACCATCTTGGCTAACACAGTTAAACCCCATCTCTACTAAAAATGCAAAAAATTAGCCAGGCGTGGTGGCAGGTGCCTATAGTCCTAGCTACTCCTTACTCGGGAGGCTGAGGCACGGGAATGGCATGAACCCAGGAGGCGGAGTTTGCAGTGAGCCGAGATCACGCAACTGCACTCCAGCCTGGGGATGACAGAGTGAGACTCTGTCTCAGAAAAACAAAAAAAATGCCAGGCGCAGTGGCTCACGCCTGTAATCCCAGCACTTTGGGAGGCCGAGGCAGGTGGATCACTTGAAGTCAGGAGTTCGAGACCAGCCTGGTCAACATGGTGAAACCCCATCTTTACTAAAAATACGAAAATTAGCTGGGCATGGGGACGCACACCTGTCAGCCCAGCTACTTAGGAGGCTGAGGCAGGACAATCGCTTGAGTCCAGGAGGTGGAGGCTGCAGTGAGCCGAGATTATGCGACTGCACTCCAGCATGGGTAACAGAGTGAGACTCAGTCTAAAACAAAAACAAACAAAAACAACAACAAAGCAAATCTCTATGACAGCTCTCCTTCACACCTGATGAAAGCAAGGTGGAAGTGTTTTACAGACTAAAGAAAAATCTATCACTTTTCCACTGAGCAGCGGTCTGAAAGCTCCAAGAATAAATACAAGGTCCTATATTGACGGGGACCGTGATTCTTCGTCCTGACTGCACTCTGGCACCTGCTGGGGAACTGGCCAGTATTTCTCACATTTTGACGGGCACACAAGTCCCCTGGTGATCCTGTTAAATGGCCGATTCTGACTCAGTGGGTCTGAAGTGGGGTCTAAGATGCTGGAATTCTAACAAGCTCCTAGGTGATGCCAATGCTGCTGGCCCACGGACCACATTTTGAATAGCAATGCCTAGACCGCTTGAATCAGAATTGCTGGGAGTAGGGCTCAGGTGTCCATCATTTTTAAAGCTTCCTAGGTGATTCTAACATGGAGCCCAGAAGAAACCCACAAGAACAAGCCCTGGGAGGCACTGGAGTGAGAGAGACACGGGCTTGAGTGTGGGGTCAGTCATTCAATTCATGTATGGCCTTAGGGTATTTCCCCAATCTGACCTTCAATTTTGTTACCTGCAAAATGGTGGGGGGCAGAGATGGAGAGTAACAACCCACAGGGGTTGTTGAGAACAGAAATAATGTGTGTCAAGTACCTAGGCCAGACTGGACAACGAAGTGGGTTCTTCTGTCACAGCCGTCCTTGACAAACAATTAATAGGTCTTTTACCATAATTAGATGATGCTGTGTTGGAGGCTGTTGGAGATCCAGATTAAGGAAGTCCCTACCCTTAAAACTGAAGTGGGGATACCAGCAGATAGAAAGCAAAGTGGCATGAGAAAGGGAGTATGGAGCAGTGGTTAGAGTACTGGGGGACATGCACCGCATGGCTGTGGGCAGGTTCCTTCTCCAGCTGAGCCTCAGCTGCCCAATGGGTAGACTCAGATTTGTTCTCTCCCAGGATCACCACTGTCAGTATCAAAGAAGCCACGAGACAGGCAAGGGCACAGCCCTGTCTGCAGTTGTTCAAGTTCCAATCAATCAAAGCAAACCTCTATGACAGCTCTCCTTCATGCCTGATGAAGAGCAAGGTGCAAGTGTGGGAGTGTGGGCTGGTGTGCATTGCCAGCCCCAACTCCTCGTCCTTTGTGGTACCTTATTCATCCTTTTGGTGGCAGCATCTAGCCCAGGACCTGGCACACAGGACTGCAGGCCAGAGCTAACTGCCATTTTACCAAGTGAGAAAAATGAGGCCCAGAAAAAAGACATGCTCAAGATCCCACCTTAGGCCAGGCACCGTGGCTCACGCCTGTAATCCCAGCACTTTGGGAGGCCACAGTGAAAGAATAGTTTGAGCCCAGGAATTTGAGATCAGTGGCAATATGGCAATATCCCATCTTGACAAAACAATAAAAAAACTAGGCGAGCATGGTGGCTCACACCTGTGGTCCCGGGTACTCAGGAGGCTGAGGTGGGAGGATTACTCAAAACCAGGAGGTTGAGGTTGCAGTGAGCTGTGATCATGCCACTACACTCCAGTGTGGGCAAGAGAGTGAGACCCTATCTCAAAAAGAAAAAAATAGTCCCAGCTGGGTGCAGTGGCTCACACTTGTAATCCCACCACTTTGGGAAGCTGAGGCAGGTGGATCACCTGAGGTCAGGAGTTTGAGACCAGCCTGGCCAACATGATGAAACCCTATCTCTACAAAAGTACAAAAAATTAGCCAGGCATGGTGGTGTGTCCCTGTAGTCCCAGCTACTCGGGAGGCTGAGGCATGAAAATTGCTGAAACCTGGGAGGCAGAGGTTGCAGTGAGCCAAGATTGCACCACTATACTCTAGCCTGGACCAGAGTGAGACTCTGTCTCAAAAAATAAAATAACATAACATAAAACATAAAATAATAAAATAAAATAAAATACACCAGGTGCAGTGGCTTACATCTATAATCCCAGGACTTTGGGAGGCCGAGGCGGGCAGATTGCTTGAGCTCGGGAATTTGAGACCAGCCTGGGCAACATGGCAAAACCCTATCTCTACTAAAAATACAAAAATTAGCCGGGTGTGGTGGCAGGTGCCTGTAATTGCAGCTACTCAGGAAGCTGAGGCACAAGAATCGTTCCAACCTGGGAGGCAGAGGTTGCAGTGAGCCAAGATCGCACCACTGCACTCCAGTCTGGGCAACAGGGAGAGACTCTGCCTCAAAAAAATAAAAAAGGTCCCATCTTAGTTTATCTTCTGGGTCTCAGACCTCAGCTCTCCTCTGTGCCTGTGCACTGAAGAGGAAATAGATGATTCTCCAGGCACTGGGCCTGGTGGCTTCCAGAGGGCAGGCTGCCCTGAAAAGGTTGGGAGGTTTAGGTTATAGCACCAAAGTGTCCCTGAGACCTGGCTATGGTTCACATCTAGAGGGTTCTTGATAACACAGATTATCCCTTGGCAGAGAGGGCAGAAGTTACAACACTGATCTGGAATGCCTTTCCTCAGCAGAAACCTTTGCACCCTGAATACCTTGACCCTGCCACCATCGCCAACCATTCTTCACGAAACACCTCTTCGCTGCCTGACAGGGGCAGGCAGCAGACACAGTGCGCTTGAGTAGTCACCGCCTCCCATCTGCAGCCTTACCGTTTGCGAACAATGTTAATATTCTTCTCTAGCAGGTCATAGTGGATGTACTCGTTGGGCTCAAAGTGGCTCATCGCCACCTTGGCTCGTTGGCACAGGACTGAGGCCACATGGTACTGCCGCACACCCAGAGCTTTCTGCAAGAATAAACATGACAGCCATTGTCAATGGAGCACTTAGGAGAGTCCATCCCCGAGGGCAGCTCAGTATGGTGAAAAAAATCCAGGAATTAAAGTGTCAAGAGCTGTTCAGTAACTGCAGCCTCAGCTTCCTCATCTGCAGCACAGGGGATGACAAAGCAGCCACAAGGAACACAGCCTGGGGTAGGAACAAAGTGCAAGGGATTTACAGGCAAAAATCGCTGAGATCAAAGTCAACTTCTATCATGTAAAGTATATCAACATAAGAAAAGCCCTCATTGTCTAAAACCCAGAGGAGATAGAAAATAGGGATATACCCAGCTCTGGTGATCACACAGGGGTCTGGGAAGGTTAACTGAGACCATGAAGTGAAAGTGCTCATTAAGCTGGAAAACACTACCCAAACCGGAGCTATTAGTCTACCTGCACTATAAGCTTCTTGAGAGCTGAGATCAAGCCTTATTTATCTTACTCATCTCTATGTCTGGACTACCTGGCACATACTGGAGCTTCAACAAACATCTGTGGGTCAGAGGGAGGAATGAATGAGGAAAATCCTGCACTTGAGCTTTGGATGTTTCCTCATCCTTTCAAAAGGTGGTGCCTAATTCCCCTCTCACCTTTTTTTTTGAGACGGAGTCTCGCTCTGTGGCACAGGCGGGAGTGCAGTGGTGGGGTCTCAGCTCACTGAAACCACTGCCTCCTGGGTTCAAGCTTCAGCTTCTCCTGCCTCAGCTTCCCAGTAGCTGGGATTACAGGCACGTGCCACCATGCCCAGGGCTAATTTTTGTATTTGTAGTAGAGACAGGGTTTCACCATGTTGGCCAGGCTGGTCTTGAACTCCTGATCTCAAGTGATCCATCCGCCTCGGCCTCCCAAAGTGCTGGGATTACAGGCATGAGCCACCATGCCCAGCCATTACCCTCTCTTTGAATATGTGGCAGACTTACTTCTACTTTATAGAATGTGACAAGTGATGCTATGGGACTTCGAGACTAGGTCATAAAAAGAACAGCTTCTGCCTGGCTTGCTCTCTCTCTTGGATTGCTCTAGGGCAAGACAGTCCCCATGTTGTTAAGCAATCCTGGGAGAGGCCCACCAAGACAGGAACAGAGGCCTCTTGCCGATAACCAGCACCACCTTGCCAGGTGTGAGTGAGCCACCTTGCAAGCAAATGCTCCAGCCCCGGTTCAACCTGTCAGATGGCTATCCCCAGCTGACATCTTCACTGCAACTTCTGGAGAGTCCCCAGGCCAGAACCACCCAGCCAAGCCACTCCCAAATTCCTGGCCCACAGAAATATGAGATAAATGCTTGTTGTTTTAAGCTGGTAAGTTTGGGGGCAATTTGTTACACAGCAATAAATGAATGATTGTTATGGTGGGATCTGTATTAGTTAATTTTTTTTTTTTTTTTTAAGAGACAGTGTCTTGTTCTGTTGCCCAGCCTGGAGTGTAGGGGCAAGATCATACTTCCCTGCAGTCTGAAACTCCTGAGCTCAAATGATCCTCCCACCTTAGCTTCCTCGGTAGCTGGGACTACAGGCACACACTACTGCACCCAATTATTTAATTAATTAATTAATTTACTTATTTTTTGAGACAGAGCCTTGCTCTGTCGCCAGGCTGGAATGCAGTGGTGCGATCTCGGCTCACTGCAACCTCCACCTCCTGGGTTCAAGCACTTCTCCTGCCTCAGCATCCTGAGTAGCTGGTACTACAGGTGTCCACCACCACGCCCAGATAATTTTTGTATTTTTAGTAGAGACGGGGTTTCATCATGTTGGTCAGGATGGTCTCGATCTCTTAAACTCATGATCTGCCCGCCTCGACCTCCCAATATGTTTTTCGTTTTTTTTTTTTTTTTTTTTAAGGGAGTCTCACTCTGTTGCCCAGGTTGAAGTGCAATGGCATGATCTTGGCTCCTCTTGGATCCTCTTGGCAACCTCTGCCTCCCGGGTTCAAGCAATTCTCCTGTCTCAGCCTCCCAAGTAACTGGGACTACAGGTGCACGCCACCACACTTTGCTAATTTTTGTATTTTTAGTAGAGATAGGGTTTCTACATATTGGTCAGGGTGGTCTTGAACTCCTGACCTAGGTGATAAACCTGACTCAGCCTCCCAAAGTGCTAGAATTACAGGCGTGAGCCGCCGCACCCACCCTAATTCTTTTAATTTTATTTTTTTGTAGCAACAGGTTCTCACTACATTGCCCAGGCTGATCTCAAACTCCTGGCCATAAGCGATCCTCCTGCCTCAGCCTCCCAAAGCAGAGATTACAGGCATGAGCCACTGTACCCGACCTGTATTAGTTAATTTTAAACTATGAATAATAACCTTCAAGGGTACCTTGTTACCAGAGAAGAATAAATGAATCCAAAGAAATGATAGCAAGAGGCCGGGTGCAGTGGCTCACACCTGTAATCCCAGCCCTTTGGGAAGCCGAGGTAGGCGGATTGCCTGAGGTCAGGAATTTGAAACCAGCCTGTCCAACGTGGTGAAACCCCGTCTCTACTAAAAACACAAAAATTAGCCGGGCATGGTGGCGGGCACCTATAATCCCAGCTACTTAGGAGGCTGAGGCAGGAGAATCATTTGAACCCGGGGGCAGAGGTTGCAGTGAGCCAAGATCACCCCACTTCACTCCAGCCTAGGTGACAGAGGGAAACTCCGTCTCAAAAAAGAAAAAAAAAAAAGAAAAGGGCCGGGCGCGGTGGCTCAAGCCTGTAATCCCAGCACTTTGGGAGGCCGAGACGGGCGGATCACGAGGTCAGGAGATCAAGACCATCCTGGCTAACCCGGTGAAACCCCGTCTCTACTAAAAAATACAAAAAATCTAGCCGGGCGAGGTGGCGGGCGCCTGTAGTCCCAGCTACTCGGGAGGCTGAGGCAGGAGAATGGCGTGAACCCGGGAGGCGGAGCTTGCAGTGAGCTGAGATCCGGCCACTGCACTCCAGCCTGGGCGACAGAGCGAAACTCCGCCTCAAAAAAAAAAAAAAAAAAAAAAAAGAAAAAAGAAAAAAAAGAAAAGAAAAGAAAAAAAAGGAAGGAAGGAAGGAAGGAAGAGAGAGAGAGAGAGAGAGAAAGAAATGACAGCAAGAAGGAAAGAGCTGCTTGCTTTCTAGGTGGTTGGTGTTCCTCCTCATACCCTGGGTAAGGGAAGAGGCAAAGCTGAAACCACTGCCCCAGGCTCCCTTCTTTACATCACCCGGATATATAATCCAAACGCTGTCAACCTCAGCACCTGAACCCAGTATGTACCCAGAGCAGCCATTCCCTGTTTGAGTCTCCCAGCAGTGAGAATAGGCCACATTCTGAAACAGCACCCCTGACCATCACCCACTCTAACCTGTCTATGGCAGGGGCGACATCCCCAGTCCAGACTTCACATACATTTGCCCCCAAGCTCAAACCTGACTGATGGCTCCTCACTGCCTGCCTCACTGGGTAGGTGCAAAGAACCCACCAATGACATGACGTCAAAGGACCTTCCACAGTGCACGTGCATAGGAAGAAGGTAGTACATTTCTGCTGCAGTGATAAACACTATCCCTGTGACACGGGGAGGAGCCCAGTGCATGGGGTGGATGGAGGAGCAGAGCCCTGGGTTTCAGGATGGCCCCACAACTTACCGATCCTGGACAATTTAACCTCTCCAAGCAATCGTTTCTTCACAGAGCTATTGTGAGGATCTGGAGACATTATATAGAGTACTGAGTACGTTTCCATGATTATTACCCTGTGCATTCCTAAGTGTACACACAGCTACCCCTACCATGTTCTTCACACAAATGAGAAACCATACAAGTTGTTCTGCAACTCATCTTTTTCTTTTTCTTTTTTTTTTTTGAGACGGGATTTCGCTGTCATCACCCAGGCTGGAGTGTAGTGGCATGATCTCAGCTCACGGCAACCTCTGCCTCCCAGGTTCAAGCAATTCTCCTGCCTCAGCCTCCCAAGTAGTGGGCACTACAGGCATGCACTACCATGCCCGGTTAATTTTTGTACTTTTTTGGCGGAAATGGGGTTTCACCACATTGCCCAGGCTGGTCTCAAACTCCTGACCTCAAATGATCCACCCACCTTGGCCTCCCAGAGTGCTGGGATTATAGGTGTGAGCCACCACGCCTGGCCCGCAACTCATCTTTTTCATTTACTAACAAATCTCAGACATCTTTCCAATGTGAAATTACCAATCTGTTTCTTTATTTTTACAAATTAATTGCCCTAAGTTTCAGTTTCCTTAGAAATAAAAACAACTGGCCGGGCGCGGTGGCTCAAGCCTGTAATCCCAGCACTTTGGGAGGCCGAGACGGGCAGATCACGAGGTCAGGAGATCAAGACCATCCTGGCTAACGCGGTGAAACCCCATCTCTACTAAAAAAATACAAAAAACTAGCTGGGCGCGGTGGCGGGCGCCTGTAGTCCCAGCTACTCGGGAGGCTGAGGCAGGAGAATGGCATAAACCCAGGAGGCGAGCTTGCAGTGAGCTGAGATCCGGCCACTGCACTCCAGCCTGGGCGACAGAGCGAGACTCCGTCTCAAAAAAAAGAAAAAGAAATAAAAACAACTGTAACAATACCTACTGCCTGGTGCAGCAGGCAAGACAATGCATTGTAATCTTATCTACGGTACCGGGACAAGGCAAAGCTCCAATTCCCACAGCCAGGGCACAGTAAGCTAACTACAGACTACATCTCAATACCTATAAATAGGCTTCAGAAATAATGCTGGGCCAGGAGCAGTGGCTGATGCCTGTAATCCTAGCACTTTAGGACACAGGAAGGTTGCTTGAGACCAGGAATTCAAGACCAACCTGGCCAACATAGTAAGAGCTGTAAAGGACAAAATAGGCCAGGCACAGTGGCTCACACCTGTAATCCCAACACTTTGGGAGGCTGAGGCAGGAGGATCAATTGAGCCCAGGAGTTCAAGACCAGCCTGGGGTAAGAGAGCAAGACCTTGTCTCTACAAAATAAAATAAAACATAAATTAGCT